ACGTGCAAAATACACTCTTATCAGCTAACCAAGAGGTGGTGAATTGGTTGTCTAAAACTTTTTCGAAAAATTATTATAAATACAAGCAAGTAAGGACCAAATAGATAAATTCAAAGAGTAATCACAAATGTAAATGAAATGAGAGAGAGAGAGAGAGAGAGAGAGAGAGAGAGAGAGAGATGATGTAAACAATATAATTATGGGGGTTCGATTCAAAGTAATGATTTACGTCAACCGTTACCAAACTCTTCGACACGAACAATGCATTTTCACTATATTGATTAACTTATAGTGCAATCTAACCATTTACAATGTTTTCGGTGACTTACAATCAAAGATCACCAATCCTTAACAAAGTGAGCTTTACGAGACATCAACATGATCCACAATTTTAAATGGATAGTGATTTTACAATTTGGAAATTGTCTTTTAATAAATGATATGATCAAATTAAGTACCAAGAGAGAAATAGGCTAACACTTTAATAAATAGTAATGAATGAAACTAAGTGTTATGTGAGAAAAACTTTGATGAGTAAAATGATTTAAAATGCTTTAATTCAATCAAAAGTTTTTCAAAGTAAATTATTTGAGAAAGATAAATCAATGTAGCTTTGCTCAAGAATATCTCACATAAATGCTCTTAAAAGTGTTGTATTGAATGTAAAGTGAAGTGATATTTATAGCAGTCAAAATGACAAAATTTTTGACCAACCGGACATCCGCCTACTGAATTGGATGACTAAACTAATTGTTGTGCATCAGAAATCAAAACGGTTAAAAATTTGACTGTTGGACGAACTGGACGCCCCCTAGGACAAAATTTTTTCGGATTCTTCTTTTCTTGATTGTTTTAAAGTGTAGGCTTTTGAAAGACATTTTCACTTAAGTTTTCAAAATAAGTGATATTGGTAAAACATTTAAAAATAAAACAAAAATTTTTATCCTTTCGAAAATAATTTTTGTGCGAGCGTTTTTATGAATAATTATCTCGTGCATAAATATTTAACTTTTGAGCTTTTAGTGATTCAATGCTAAGAATTAAAACATTTTACATTTACATATGAATTCAAAACATCTAAGTCTAATATCTTCAATGAATGCTTCGATTTATTTGACGTGATTGTTCGGCTCCATCTCAATTTTCTTTGATCGTAAAATGTGAGACTTTTGGTAGCAATCATTTTGTCTTCAATTGATCAATTTGGCCATACTAACTATGAAGACTTGAATACAATTGTTAGAGATAAAATAATTTATTTGTTATAATCAAAACATAAGATCAATCAACTTTTATCAAATTCTTCTAAAAATTTGATTTTAATCCCTATCAAACAAAAAAATAATATAATTAATTAGACCTTTATATAAAAACATATAGCATATTTCGCCCATGTTTGGAGGGCCATGTTTTCGGCAAAAAAAATTTTTGAATAGTGAATTTTTGAAGAATGTGATTAAAACGTAAGAAAAAGTTTTAGGTTTATATGTAGAATATTTTATTATGTGAATGTATGGTTGAAAATGAGTATGTAACAAAAAAGGAAAAATTGCAGCCGCGGTTCCAAACCTTTTCATTTTTTGCAGACTTTACCTCAACATTCAGTTTGAGCCACCACAAGTTCCAAACATTTGAGAAATTCGTAGATGCAATTAAAAAATGATGGAAAAAAGTTAATTCCACCTTTAGTTGACCACAAAAATGGGAAAAAAGGGTCAAGTTTGACCAATTTAAATAGAAACATTTTCGTCCAATTATATTTTTCCTTATTCACTGTATTAATCACTATTCATTTTCCTCATTCTCCAGGTCTCATATATTCTTCTCTCTCTTCCATTTATCTTAGATTATTTCAGCATGAATATGGAATGCAATATATGTAGATACGTTGACCCCGTGCAGATGATGACCTCATGGATGAACTTGTATCTAGGAAAAAGATTTCTCACTTGCCCATGGCGTCAAGATTTCGGTGGATGTAACGTTTTTGACTGGTACGACCCTCCAATGTGCGACAGATCGAGGGAGACAATCCTTGGATTTCTACGTGTTAGAAGTTATATGGAAGCTGAACTAAACACCCTACGTGCAAAAAACTGTGGTTCGTGGAAGACTTGGATATTAGGATTTATATGTGAAGTTTTTATGAAATGTGTCTATGCATAGTTCTGTGATAGGTTTTTTTTTTTTTTTTAGCTCAGATGTTGTGTTTGTGCTTTGGAAGGTGGGTTTATGAGTTAGAAATCGTGTGTTGTCTATTGTCTTATAACTTATTTTTCATTAAATAAGACGTTATCATTCAACAATGTTGTCCTAATTTTCATTTCTCATAGTTTTCCCCTCCCCCGTGAGCAAATGCTTCAAACATATGTATATTCTTTTGAATGTATGACTTTGCCCTTCAATTTTCACTGTATTACCAAGATTAGTTCTTTTTAACTCCTCACCATAGTCCCACAGGAACTTGTACTGTTCGACCACAATTTCACTCACAAATTCTGCACATTTAGCTCTTATCCTATAAAATTAATGTTTAGAGATCTCATACGTACAATCCTCCTTCACTGTTTCTATAAAACTATTCATAGAAATTTTTGGATTAGATCTGAACTTCCTTATATACTTTTTTGTCAAGTAACCAACATGCACTCTTCTATTCTGCTACACCATTGTGCATGTATATTCATCTCTAATTGTGTTAATTGTGAAACATTTGTCTGCTTGCTGGTTGGCATACAAAACCCATGGACAATTATCTTGATATTTGACTCGCAGTCTTGTTCCTTCATTCTTTATGTATATGACCTATCTTGCATTTTTAATTGAATACTGTACAACTACATCCCTCAATATCTTTATGTTGTCAAATTTCATATTACGGGATAAAACCAAGGCTATGTCCTATTTGGATTCAAACAGTTTAGTTTTAAATGATATGAACATACAATAAAATCTAAAATTTATTCTTCTTACCTATTTGGAATTTTGGACTTGCATGTCTGTAGAAAAATTAAACCAATACTCATTCCGACTCTTGAAGAGCCACTAACTTCTTCAATATCACTTAGAATATGTCTAAGATCATCGACTCATCATAATCTGCTCTATCACCATCTGCATGCCCTACTGCACCCTCATGTTCAGCTCTCAGATTTTCATCACCAATATAACAACCCCTCAGACAACCTGAAGAAAGTATCTTCATCATAATCATCTACATGCACATCTTTCTCTTGTTCATAATCTGGATCACTAAACTCTTCCATTAGACCTTCCTTAAATTCAAATTTCATATTTCCTTCTCTAGTGTTAGTATGATCCACATTTTCATCAATAAGGCATGCATCATCAGGTGGTGCATCTACAGGGGGTCCAGCGATGCCTAATTGTAGTCATTGAGGTCTACCACTGGTTCTTCACCTATAGTTTGATCACCCATTTTATCATCACCTGTAGTTACATGATCTTATGCATGTAAGTCACTCAATTCACTTGCAAAAGAAGGGGGTGCATCTGCAGCACCATCAACATGGGATGAAGCACTAAGGGCTTCATCAATAGGTAATGCATCAGCAGGTGCATCATGTTGTATTTCAGCAGGTGACTCATTTTAAGGTAAAGTGGGACACTCATTGTGATCTGCAGCAGGTGCCTCTTCATTGTGATCTGTAAGTACATTATCTTCATTTGCATGTAAGTCACTCACTCCACTTGTAGGAATATCAACAGAACTCCCTGCATCCACTTTTATTTCATCAATTGCACCATTACTCTCAGCGTTATCCACAACATACAAGTCATCACCTTCTAAAAAATCATCATAAACCTCCACTATATAGCATACATTATGCTCAAACTGTTTGTCAACATCTAGTTTCCCTCTTTCTTCCACATCATCCAACACCTTACCAGTGTTAACATCAACTACTGAAATATCATTTCTTTAATTTGTCATCCCATGGCAATTCCAACACTCAACTATGGACACACACTGCATCTTAGCAAGCCCATTCTCACCAAACAACCTAACTACATTTATAAAGTCTGTATCTTTCACCAATCAGAATGATGTCTCACTCAATCTCTTTTTTTCAATCTTATACACATACCTCGTTTTCTCAAAATAGCCTAGCATCTTCATAGCATTGTTCAGGAAAAATCTATTAAACCAATCATGGTGCACATAATCTAGATATGCTATCTTCCCATACTCGTATACAAAATTTCGCATCTTTGTGAGAAATACACCACCGTTGAAATAACTTGAATTTTCCACTGAACAAAAAAAAAAAAAATCATAATAATAAACTGTAATCAACACTAAACCCTAGTTAAATGAAATGAATGCAAAAGTAGTGCGAATAAGTATTGCAAATTTTATTATTCCAACTCAATAATATGCTTAAAATTATTAAAATATGCACTCTATGATCATACTTCACAACCCACCATGAGGCAATCATGCCTACAACCATAAAGTTTGAAAAAATTTAAGAACTTATCGTATACAGTTTCGGGAAGACGACATCATATGTGACGTGCAAAATCTTCTGAAATTTCATCAGATTTTTGGCTATTTTAGTTCGACATTGTAGAAGATGAATGTTGGGGTTCGTACCATCAAAGAGAATGGAGAGGGTGTGCGATTGTAACTAACTAAATGATTTTTAAAAGGAAAAATAGAATGGACGAAAATGCCCCTATTTAAGTTGGTCAAAATTTTCATTTTTTTCCATTTTTGAGGTCAACCGACGATGGAACTAACGTTTTTCATCATTTTGAACTGTATCTGCAAATTTCTCAAAATTTTGAGACCTGTAGTGACACAAACTGAAGGTTAAAGTAAAGTCCGCAAAAAAACTAAAAGATTTGAGACTGCAGATGCAATTTTCCAAAAAAGAAAAAAAATTGAAAGAATGAGAGTCAAGGGCTAAATTTATTTAAATAACTAAAAGAATATGGACATGATTAATTAACTACTCCAAAAGTCAAATCCTTTCACTCCCATTTGCACAATGTCAGCAATCGGTGTGGACGGTGGAACTCTCTCTCTCTCTCGTGTTTATGGTTATTATATATTCCACAAGAAGCTACTTCCTCTGTATATAGCACTCGTTTTGCTACCCTTATGAATTATTTATAATTGAACAAATTACTTTTCATTTACATATTTTGTGGGATCCACACTCAACATTCATTAAATTGACATAGCTTTCTTAGTTCTTCCCATAAGTTTGTTCACCAAGTTTCTGCCTCTTTCTTCCATGATCCACTCTCACTGCAATCTTCTTTAAGTCAATTTAGGCTTACTGTTGTTTTGCAATCTTGAACCGAAACAACTTTATTAATCGTTTCTACCATTTTGTGTCAAATATTTCAGAAAAAAAACTGATATATTTTTCACATTTAAATTTTCTGATGGATCTTAGCCATAAACTCTATGCCCATGAATCACAAACTCTATCTCCCTTCACAAATTCACCAACCTCACCATTGCATTCATCTCACAATAGCTTTCCCATTATAGCAGTTGCCATTATAGGGATTTTTGCAATTGCTATTTTGCTGCTCAGCTATTACATCTTTGTGACCAAATGCTTCTTTAATTTGCATCAAACCAATGACGTTATGCGTTTTTCTGTATCCAGAAGGCGACGTGTCGAAGATCATTCAATGATTTACTCTCCAGAAATCGAAAAACGAGGTCTAGATGAGGCTGCAATTAGATCAATCCCTTTATTTCAATACAGAAAGGGTATAGGAAAGGATAAACTTGCAGAAGGAAGCTATACGGATTGCACGGTTTGCCTGAATGAATTTCAAGAAGATGAGAAACTAAGAATCATTCCAAATTGTGGCCATGTTTTTCATATAGATTGTCTAGACATTTGGCTTCAAAAGAATGCTAATTGCCCTCTATGTAGAACAGGCATTTCATCCACCAAAATGATTCCACTTTGTGATCAAATTCTTCCTCTGAACACTCCTCCTCGAGACTGTGTTGTCATTGAAATAAATGAACTATCATCCATTACTCCTTCACCTAGAAAATTAGAGCCAAAAGTACGTCGAAAAACAAGCAGAAAATTGAGTCATGTTTCCAGCATGGGAGATGAATGCATCAACGGCAGAATGAAAGAAGAGCAGTTTGGAGTTGAACCAATAAGAAGATCTTTCTCCCTGGATTCAGCAGCTGACAGGCAGCTATATTTATCTATTCAACAAATAATAAAGCATCAAAGAAGAGAGGTAGCTGATGAAGGTTGCAGTAGCGGAGTGAAAAGATCATTATTTTCTTTTGGGCAAGGATGGGCTTCAAGAAATGCAGTTCTACCACTTCCTTTGGACCAATAGGGCTACATTTATTTTTTAGAGATAGAAATATGGGTGTTTTAGATTTTTGTAAATTTTTATACGTTTTATAGCGATAGTTACTGAATGATATAGTTTCAATTCTTTGCAACTCTTTCCTAGCGCATTCTAATAAAATTATATAATTCAGTAAATGCGAATTTATTTTAGTTATAGTTTGTTTGATTGTGTCCAAAGCACAACAAATAAAAAACTTGTGTATGCAGCTACAAATTAAACCTCTACATAATATTTTCTTCATGAATCATAACAGTGAACAAAATCAAGCAAAGACCTTATTTTCTTCATAACAGTGAACAATATCAAGCAAAGCTAGATTTCAATTACTTAAGAGTTGCAGTCATTCTCATCGGGTCCGTTTGATACCTTCCACTTTCCATGGAAAATGGAAAAATGTTTTCCCTGCTTGATGTGCAAAAAGTTCCATAGAATTCCTTTTCCATTTTTCCTTCCACGCGCATGAAGTTCCTGGTNATTGTAACAAATTAAATACATTTAATTGTCAATTTTCTGGATTGTTATTAATTTAAAAAAATTTTAAATTTTTTTTTTTTTTTTTTTTTGGCAATTAGAACAAATTCTAGTCCCAATGGTTAAAAAAAAAAATTATCATTTTAATGGACAATTTCCATAAAAAAAAAAGTCAAACGGATACTAAACTTTCAACATTTCCCAGGTGGAAAATTATATCAATCAAACACAATTAATTACAATTCCAATAAAACAAATTCTAGACAATTCAATTCTCTATAATTAATTTTCTTTCCACCCAAATTCTACATTGCAATCAAACGGACCCGTAGTGTAGTGCATAGCATGAGGTCGACTTTGAATTTTGCAACCAACATGACTTGCATTATTAATATGTTATGTAATTTTTTGTCGTTTTATTCCCTGCGATATATAGTAATAAAACAGTCCATTTATCCGCGACTTTTGCTTGTTGAGTAGATAATTTTATTAGTTGAAGCGTTATAAATTAATGAAGCAAAAATAATTTAGCCTGGTGATTAAAATCATATTTTTAATAGATTTTGATAAAAATTGATGAAATATATAGTTAAAAAGTTGTGGATCTCATAAAATATGTAGTTAAAACTTTAACTTAAATTAAAATCAGAATTTTAAATTTTATCAGACATGTTCTATATTCTACGGATTACTTAGTCTCTGGATTTGGAACCACAAATCTAATTTGATCTTAAAGCCAATAAAGGGTCTGTTTGGCCTCCATTATTTCAAATCATAATGAAAGGAATAGTAATTTTTTTAGAATGTGTAGTTAGAAAATAGAGAAATATTTTTGAATTTATGTGTAATATTATTTTATTAAAAAATGTGTGATTAATAAGAAGATATAACAAGGATTTATAATTTAATAGGAATTATTTTATTCACATGCATTATATTACTTCCCCCGTCGTTGGTTTTGATTTTAAAATTTATTTAAAAGCAACAAGAAAAATATTTACAATGAGAAAAAGTTCAGTCAATATTGCAGAGAGTGGGTTCCACCCTGAAGTTGGAGAAAGTTGACCACAAGTTTCAAAGACAAAGTCGTTGGTTCACATTGACTGAAGAGTCGGTTTGGTGCAACGTACGCGTCTAATTTGTAAGCACGTCATGTTTGAAATTGATTATAGCATTTTAATTTTTACAGACTATATAGCCCTTTTGACAGTCATTAGGTAAAATGAAGTTTTAAATAATAATTTTTTCAAGAATAGATATTAAAAAGTAGGGAAAATTTTAATTCTACTTGCAAAATATTTTACTGTTTAAATTTGTGATTGAAAATGAGTATATAGAAAAATACATTTTGAAATAATGGCTGTCAAATAGGGGTTATTTGAAAAATTAGATTTTCTGTAATTTGAAAAAAAAAAAAGGGTAATTATATTAACACTACAAAAGATGGATTTTATGTGTTTCCTCGATCTCTAAGATGCATTTCTCCTCTTCCCTCTTTTTTTATTTTTGACCTGAATTAGTCCTACTTATATTCCTCAATATGCTTTGAAAGTCGTTCATTTAAAATACCAAAATTGCCATTAAATTAGATAAAAAATAGATAAAATTCATACCTAAAACGTATAGTCCGATATCAGTTGAGGTTCCATGTCCCGGAGGTGCAACCCCTAGGGACATATTTTTCCCCAAATAGAGGTCGCATGTCCCAAAGGTGCAACATCAATCTCTCTACTTCACTATTTACGTTTTGGTCCTCCAAGTTTTGAGTCTCTATAGTTTTGTACCCTAAGTACAGTTTCATCAATTTAGTCCTTGAACTTTCAACTTTATCTAATTTTGTCCTTCAAATTTAATTTTAAGTTGTGAAATGTTCAACTTGATCTTTAAGTTCTTATTTAATCCATTTTGTTCCCCAAACTCTTCAAATGTCAAATTTGGTCTCCAAATCTTATAAAGCCATACAATCAACTCTAAAAAGCATCCAATCGTCCTCAGCTACCCCGATATTGAAGTAAATCCATCATTTTGCAAATCTTCTCCCTTTTATTTGATTTATCTGAGGGTTTCTCATATAAATGTAAAATATAAAATAATATGAGTATAAATTTACAAAATAATCAAATATTAAGTAAATATAAAAACCTAAATAGCGTGTGAAATAAACTTATTATATGTCTTCAGTATTAAATTTCAAACGTAGTTAATGTCATTGATTTTTTTATTTTGAGAGCATTTTATCTAATAGGGGTTTAATAATGGCAATGGATGAATTTGTTTCCCATATCCAAGTGACTTTGAACTGATCAGCCATTTGCTAAAAAATATATTTTTAGTCAATTTTGATAAAATTTGATGAAACATGATTAAAAAGTTGATAATACTTATGGATCTCATAAAATGTATGTTTAAAAATGAGATGATCACTCAAATTTGATAACACTTTCAAAAGCGACATTCAAATAGCTCCCAATTTTAAGGGTATGTTACCCCTTATTCAAAAAACCTCAAACCTGAAGATTCTCTTAAAGTCCCAGAAAATTGAAAGTGACATCCTCAGTCATTTTTCATTTATTAATTTTTTAGAAAAATTCATGGGCTATCTCATTTGAATTTTTTTTGATCAATTAAAGAGATGCAACAAAGTGTTTGTGAAATTTAAAATATCCAAGTCTTTTGCCCGTGTAATGCACGCATTGTATTTTTTTAAGGTAATGTTAGCGTGCTGAATGTTATGGATCAACGAGAGATGTGTGCGTTGAAGATTCATTGCCCCGATAAAGTTTTGTACTATTAGTCTTGGGTTTTTAGTGTTGGCAATTCGGTTGACAAATGGACTATTTTGTAACGTGTTGTAAAAGTCAAAAACATAGGGTGCAATTTGTATAAATTAGGTTATGAGGTCTAGGGTTTGAGCAAACAAAAAGGATAAATAAGGCACCGCACTTTCGCTGGCCTATCGCCTGGACACTACTTGAGCGACAAATATAGAATCTCTGTCACTCGCCCGTCACCCGGCTATTGGTTGAGCGAGAGGCTGTCACTCGCCTATCGTCGAGGTTTAGCTCGAGCGACAGGTTTATACAGAAAACCTTAATTTACGTTTTTAAACAGATTTTTCCGCTCATTCAACCAAATTACCCTCTTCTATAAATATCCAAGCAATTGGACAAAATTCCAAGGTGGTTTTCATTATTTTCATTGCCTCATCTTATTCTCTAAAGATCTATGAACATATTCTTTCATTGTGATTCGTCATTTCTTCTTGAGATCATATAACCACATGTTTGGGAAAAACATCAAACCCATTCAATCGAAACATCACTTACTTCCAATTGGTCACAGGAATGTACTTTCTCAGTTGAACTTCAGACTTTACTGGAGGTTGAGAGAGGTTGGACTACAAGCGTAGGAAGAGCACAAGGCCTTGGAGACAATTGCAGAAGATCTTGGAGAAGGTTTTGGGGTAGACCTTGGAGTTAGCAGGAAATAGACCAGGAAGTCTAGTGGAGTTGGATAGATAGGATCTGACTATAACTCATTCCATATTGTCTATAGTGAAGGTAATTGGCTTGGTTGCAGAGTTTTTACCCAGTTGGGGTTTCTCCGTCATCATTTTGGTGTTCGTTATTTATTGCCTTCCTTATTACTACGGTATTCAAACTCAGGGAAATTAACTTGATTGATTAATTCCGTATGTAGGGTCAAAACTAAAAATGGATAATTAATAACCATTCGGTAACTTAGTAACCGTTAATTTGGTAATCGGTAACTTTCAAGTTGTATCCAGAGCGACACCCGATTTTTCAATTAGTATCAGAGCCCAAATTCGTTCCTTGACTCATATTATCTAGGCGAGTAATTCATTATCCGTCCCACCATATTTTGATGGCAGTAATTATGCCTATTGGAATGTTAGGATGAGAGCCTATTTAAAATCCATGGATGAGCATATCTAGTTTAGTGTTGTGAATGGTTCGGCTACACCTAGTTCTATGGTTAATAATGAAGTAATCCCCACCTATGTTGCTAATTTAATTAGAGCAAACATAGATGAATGTAACTGGAACAGTAAAGCCTTACATGCCCTATTTATGGCAGTATCCCCGAAAGAGTTTAGGTGTCTATGTGTGAGGCAACCAAAGAGGTTTGAGATATTCTACAGATCACATATTAGGGAACTTAGGTGGTTAAGAACTCTAAGTTGCAGATGTTGACCACTAGATTTGAGGAGATTAAAATGAAAGACAATGAGATCTTTGATGAATTCTATGCGAGCTTAAATGACATAGTAAATTCTAGCTTTAACCTTGGTGAGAGAATCCCAAAGTTTAAGATAATCAGAAAAATTTTTAGATCCCTACCAGAAATGTTAAGACCTAAAGTCATGACAATAGGGAAGAGTAAAGACTTAGATTCCATTAAGATTGAAGAGTTGGTTGGATCTCTCCAGACTTATGAACTTACATGAGGTAAACCTAAGATTGAGAAGTCAATTGCCTTGAACACCATTA